ATATACTAATAATCTTAAGTCTTTACTGTCACTTTTGATCAATTTAATGTGACCTTGCCAAATCAAAGTATTAATTTATAAGACATTTTTTCTCCAATTTTTTTACTATATCAACGGATTTCCATTTGTATGTCAGATATTAATCTTTTAAAATTATAACAATTATCACATAAACAGACTCTGACTTAAACACTCTCAAAGATCAACATTTTGCATATGTAATATTTACATTTATCTAGTCAATAAAAAAATAAAAACATTTCCATATTCACTATAAACTTTCATTAATTTGCCATGACTTCTGTATTTTGTATTTACTTCCATGACTTTTTCAGGCCTGGAAAAAATGAAAATGTTTAATTTTTGAAAATTACCATATTTTCAGATGTTTCTATAACTGAGGAACCCTTTTAAAGTTGTACTACAGGCTTAACACAATACAACAAACATACACCACTACACTAACAATCTAACTTTTGAGCTAAACAAAGCTGCCGTTCACTATCTGTGTGTGGGCTAGTAAGCACAGATTCAGTTCAAGCTCGCGGAGCAATGCTTTCCATGTGGCTCCAAGTAAATGGCGTGCGTGTAGGGTTTATTTGCAGGAGAAAAAGGCATTAAGAAATGATATTACAGGAACTCAGTGAGATGAAGATCTATAACAGGACTAGTGTGGCTCTCTGACCTGTACTCGCAGGGGGATTCTTCGCCCATGGCTTGAGCTTCAGGATCAGCGGGAGTTTCCTCCTTTTCCTTCACTGCCAAGAGAAAAAAAAATGCAAAGATGTTATTTATCATAAAATCACATTATACTATTTTGGTAGATTCGATTGGAGTGAAATTACAACATTCAAGGAGAGTGTTTTGTGTATTGGTTTTTCTCAGTTGCTTTTGAAATTTCTTGTCTTGATTTCATTTTAAAAATGACATTATTGTTATTCATAAGAGATAATATATGATATCCACTTGATTTGCAAATGCTGAGCAAACATTCAATACTTCATATTCTCCAAATTTGTGTAAGTATTTTGTATTTTGCTGTGTGGAAGCACATCAAGGACACTGACTGCCTTTTAGAAAAACTACTGTGTGCTGAACTTGAATGTAAGATATGGCCTTACGGGTGAAAACATTTATTCTTTTCAGCTTGGTAAGGTATAAATAACCTTTATGTATAGTATCTAACAGCCACAGTGATGTAAGAACAAGGCGTTTAAAACTGTCTTGCAATGGCTTGGGCTTTATTCCATAAGCTCCATAAGGGTTCTTATGCATTTTAATGCATGCAAGAGTCTGTTGCAACAATCCATTCAGGACACAATTAGTTCTTGAATCCATTAAAAGCATTTCATATTGGTTAAATATATGTGAAGATCAAAAGAAGACCAGTAGGAGCAGGCGAGGACAGGCCAATAAAGCTCACTGATCTCAGGTTTTCTGTCTGACACTGCTTGTAATAAGCCTATGGGTTGGTGCGACAGAGCCACACAACACAAAGCTAACAAATGCACCAAGCTAAGGTGTATACGCTTTGACTACAGAGAACTGAGAGCTTAAACAGAGGTCTATGAGCTCTGTGTGACCTCTGAAGCTGAATGTGTCTTACCTGCGTACTTGCCGAATTTGTTCTTGAGCACAAAACAGCCGATGAGGACAAGCAGAGTTAGTAAAGCCACTGCGCACATGATCGCCACAAACCACTCCTGGGATGCCACGAGTTGTTTACTAGACACTGCAAGGACAAAGGAGAGTTTGTTTTTGGAAAAATGTAATTCATGAACACAGTCATACTGAAATATTGGAAAATAGTGATGATGTTTTGTTGGGTTAAAGGAAGAATTGTCAAATGGCATTTTTAAGTATGGTTCCTGTGTCAAATTCTGATGTGGTTTGTCAAAGGAGAACAATCAGAACCCAAAGAAGAGTATTTAAATGGGTCACAGTTTACTTTTGAACATTTGATGAACTTCTGGAACACTTATGAACATTTGCCACCAATTTTCTGACATAAATGGACTCTTCTTTGCTGTTGCCTCAGAACCTGTGAGTTTGCTGACAAAATGAAATGATCAGAGACCCAGTTGCAAATAAATTTCTGTCACTTGTTTGGAAGCACATGCAGAGCTGTAGGTGATACATCTACCAGTCATACATAATTCATTATCATTAGTTCTTCTGGTGTTTATGAATAACATTCCCTACCCTAGTTTCTCTGTATTATCTCGCACTGAATAGATGGGCCAAGTTTCTGTCAAATAAAAGAGTAGGCATCGTTGACGTGTAGAGGTTGGCCGTTATGTGTCCAAAGGAATTTATTTGTCTGATATCAGAAAGTTTTAGGCCTTACAGTCAATTAACTTAAATTCTTAAGGTTATTTATTCTGGAGTGGAACTTTCGAGTTTTGAAAGATACAGTTTGTTCATAGTAAAATAAAATGCTTTGAGATTATAGTTCTAAAAATTTTATATTTTAGTTACAAGCATTTCAACATGTCCTGCAAAATCATCCACACTGTAAAAAAAAGTTTGTGATTTTAAATGTAAAAGACTGTAAAAATGCTTCAGTAAAAACCTGTTAATTGGTTAACAGTAACTAGTAATATATAATGTATTACATTTTGGAAGTAACTTGCCCAACACTGTTTGTAATAGAGCTAACAGGACATTTTAAGCAATTTTACAGTAAAATACTGTTAAAACAAAAACAAGTAAAAACAAAGTTATCTTATAATTGACTGTGAAAAAATATGTTTCTTCTTAGTTTTTTTTTTTTCTTGTTGGTTATGTACATTTGGGTTTTGAAATCGCGGTCCGGTTGACCTAGATCGGACCAAAAGGGCACTTTAGCGTCGATGAGTTAAAGTGGTTATCAGTATACTGTACAGATACAAAGCAGAGTAGAACGATGTAATATTAACATTCTACCAGTTATTAAAATATACAGTTTTTGTTACCATGAAGTACTGTTGTGACTGTATTTTTTTAGGTAAAGTTCTGGCAACCACAGCTGCTGTTTTTTCCCCCTGTAAACTTCACAGCTTTATTTTTACAGCACATTCTATAAAGTATAATATTTAAAAAATTGCTTGCTCAATGGAATGAGAGACCTTTTTTTTTTTACATACCTCTAGTGCTAATGCACCCACAGAACGACTATCACATATATACTATGTCAGTGATACTTCTAATGCTGTTCTACAGGCTAAATTATCTAACTTCTCACCTTTCCTGGTCTTGAAAACCTCTTCAAAAATGCTAGGGTCATCAACCCTGTGTGAAGCCTGCAGCCGGACTGTGTACACAGTTCCTGGGCTGAGCCCTTCAACGAGGTGGAAACCTTTAGACAAGCGTTTCAGGGGCATTAGTAATGCACTGAGCTAGTCCTTTTCAAGCTTAATTGTGCTTAACTAATTTTAACATCAAGCACGTCCCGTGCTTTATTTTCTCATTTATGCATGTTTATTATTCAAGCCCCGTTAACACCGCCAGTGACAAAGAGACAAGATCCCATTCATTTTCAATGGAGAGCTGGTGACTTCCGGCGACATGAGCGACAGATCGTTGGCAACAGAATGTGGGCGTGTCAAGCGATGTAAGTTAGGCCTGTCGCAATAATCGATATACCGACTTATTGCGCTATGTATGTACATGACCTCAATAATTTTTGGTGACGCAATATATCGCACATTATATTTACTTAAAATTAACGTCACCATGTTTTGTACATTTCCGCTTGTGCCTGTGTCTTTTGCAGCTTCTTGTACATAATGTAGATTAGTCATGAGGTGCTAGTTCAAATTTTAAAAAATGCTTCTACAAAAAAAAGTTTCTTCTGCAGATATGGCTTTGTTTAGGGATCTGTGCCTTTGTGCATGCGGACATCTGACTGCTAAGTAGTGATTGTGTTTTTCAGGAATAGTGTGCACCCTTAATTTACAGAGAAAAGAAGGTCAGGGAAAAATCTGTAGATGGAAAAATCTCCATACAAGTTCTTAATGCATTTTTCTTTGTTTGTACTTGTTACTTTGCACTTTTTGTTAGAAAATGTTTATTTACTATTTATTCAAGTTTTTTAAGGTATCTAATATTTTGATACTTAATTTCTATGATCTAGGCTAAATATTCTTAACAATGAAAAGTTTGTTGTCATTTGAAGTGTGTAGGCCTTCTTGCATTATTATGTTGTTACATTATGATTATATATTCAGTGGCATAAAATGGTCTTTAAAATGACAATAATATCGCTTATCGCAATTATTTTTGGGGCAATATATCGCACAACAAAAAGTTGTTATCGTGACAGGCCTAGCTACCATATTTTTACGGTAAAATTCCGGCAACCACAACTTACCGTAAAGTTTACGGATTTTCTTTTACAGTGTACATTATACATATTTAAATCTGCACATTGATCAAAATGTTGAAAAGCCAATTAATGTAAGAAATCAACAGATTAATCAATTCAAAATAGTTCAAATTGTTTTTAGTTGTAGCCCTCGATGATACTTTCCAAACTTCACTACAAATATGTCTACAATTTACACAAAACTCAATGCTGCAAACATTGGATCCTGACAAATCAGTTTGAGGAGTAAGATCCTTACGGTGATTCATTATGGCAACATAGAGCTGTGAATCAGAACGTTCTCCTCTGGTTCTCCAGCTGATTCTTGCAGAGGTGTCACTTACAAAGGTGGATATGTTGAGCACAACTGAGAGAAATTTATAGAGAAGAAGGTATAGAACAAAATACAGGAAAGACGCTCAAAAGGTTAGTTCCTGCAAAAGAATCCCAGTACACCCATAACCATAGGAAAGTGTTATAGAAATGATATAGTGACAGAAATCTGAATGAAAACTTTGTTAAAGTCAACATGAAACAGCATTTCTATAACATTTCGGTGTAAAAGAGGATATTTATTTGAGATCAAATTGTAGGGCAGGATTTTTTATCAGAACTGATGGATCTCTGTATCAGGGACCAGTGATGTCAAGCATAAAAGATTAGAATTTTTTTCTAATTAATTGAAAAACTAAATATAAAAATACATTAAATTAAATGCAAAAACATGCACTGACATCATTGTCAACAATGTAATAACGGAAGTTTTCATTTCATGCTAACTTTAAATGTTAATTTCACTCAAATATGGAGTTATGAAAGTGATTGTTTAGGTAGATGAATGAATACCTAAGGTAGGAAAGGTGGCATTGACAGAAGGAGTGTCTGTATTAGATGAGGTGAAAGGGAAAGGTTGTCCTGCAAGAGAGAGAGAGAGTTCAGACCACATGCATTTCCCTGTAAAATGGACTGCAGCAGTGGAAAATTTTAATATCCCTATTCAGACTGTCCAGAAAAAAATGCTTCTACGCATCATAAAATCATTATTCACAGCATCAGATCAACATGAACAGGAACTATATAAATAATTAGGATTGTTTATATGAGTTTATATCAACCAGTGGGCTTAAAATGACTATTGGGTCTGATAGGGTCATGGATAGCAGGAGGGGGAAAAAATGCTAAATGCAAATAATAAAATGCAACTAATCATAGGCAGGACAGCAAAATAAATGGACCTAACAAGGGGAAAGTGCTATAAAGGCCTGATAGTTGCTAAAGTTTTTTTTTTTGCAATTTGTACTATAAGTTTACAGCCGGTCTTTACAAAATGAACACCGTTGAGTGATGTATTCCTGTCAACAGCCAGACTGATTTTGTCAACCCTGATAAAGACAGCATGTTTTTGCAGTCTTTAGCAGGAGTTCAGGGACAGTATTACTGCCTCAGAGGAGCTCTTAAAAAACAAAAGCAAACGCCAACAGCAACCAAGCTCAAGTAAACTTGAACCATCTGTCACTATGTGGATTTTTGATGGAATAGTATGCTCGTTTTGCAGAATGTACACAATTATCTCCTTCACTGAATATAGGCAGGGCCTTTTGAATTTCAACAACAGCAACAACAACAACTGATACTATTTATGTGACTAAAATTAGTGCTACAATTACTGACACTATTACTAGTGTATATGGAGTTATTTTAGACATATTAATGTAGGAGTTAATATACTAATTCATTTTTCAGTTTACAAAAACAGCTACAAATTTGCTGGTACATACTCAAGTCAGATGATGTCACCTCAGATGTCGACAGTTCATCTTAAAAAGACAGTAGAGATACGTAAAAATACAACAATAAATGAATTCAGGTTTTATGTCCATAAGTTGACATATTATACTGATAAATTAGCTTTAAATTACATTTATCTGACTGAAAATGCAGATGTCACCGCAAGAGTGAAATTTTGAAATGCTTCAAAATACTACTACTACTACTAAGTAAGCTGCAAAAGGCTATAAACTTCAGTATGTGATACATACAGCTCTCTGTTGACGTTTCAGCTGAGACTGTAGAAACTTCAGGAAATGAATGTTTGGGCATTGTAACTAGTTCATGAGAAACAGAAGTTGGTTGATAAGAAGACAGATCAGGTTAAACAAACCCATGGAGTATGAGAATATGAGCATAACAGAAAGAAATAGGCAATCCGTAACAAAATTGTGGCCTACAGAAAAACTGTGACGATGATGCAATATCAGTTATCCAGTAAGTAAAAACACATCTGTAGGCAATTATTTTTACTAAGCCACCTCATTGATTGGTCAATGTATTGGTCATTACATCCTTTTGCTCATCAGATCATTGTGAGTTTTGCATTTTAACAATAATCTAATCACTCTCTTTTATGCAACAAGATCTTGCCAACAGCAACTCAGAGTTCCGTAACTGCTGCTTAATCACTTTCGAACACCTTGCGGCTGTGCTAATTAGAACACAACTAACATAGCTTGTATCAGATGTTTGTGTCTCAGCATGGGCACTTTAATTCAGATTCTGATACCAGTTCCATTATAGCTCTTGGGACTCTGCTTATAGTTGCTGCTGGGCACACTTACACGCTTCAGAGACGGTGCCTCCTTCCTCACTGATGGCTGACCCGCAGCCCACCTGTGTGCACGCGCTCAGGTAGAACTTATACCAGTTGTCATCCTGCAGATCACGCAAGACCCACTGTGTTGTATCTGGTGCATTGATGTTCACAGATTTCAGCTCACCCCGAGTCTCATTAACTACAAGAACAACAAACAAATTATTGAGTTTTAAAATATTTAAAACATTCAAAAGTTTGGGGTCAGGAAGAATTTTTTAAAGAAAGTGATACTTTTATTAATCAAAAGCATTGATTAATGCATTAAATTAATCAAAAAAGACATGATATTACAAAAGATTTCTATTTCAAATAAATGCATAGTTCAGTCAAGAAACTTCTGAGTAGCTGATTGGCCCAATCTGCCAATCGATCTCTATTTCCTGTCTATGCAACCTTATATATTACCGTCCAGCACAGTGATAATTTTCTTTAGCCCTCCTCCTCCCCAGCACCACTTCTCTTGATCTGTTATTCTTCCTACTTTACCTCACAGCAGAATTATGTTTTTGCCTATTATATAAAGTCTGCCACAATCAATCCTACCTACTCTCTATTCTCATCAATAAAATGTTGTTAATTTGAGATTCGAGAAAGCATTGTCATGTTTGAAACAATGTTCTTCAAACTTTCTGCTCATCATAGAATTCTAAATAAAGACACTGTGTTGCATTTTCCACACTTTCTTTAAGCTTTTAATTTTCCTCTCTCTCTCTCTCTCTTTTACCTGTTATTATAATTAGAAATCAACAAATCAGCATATCAGAATGATTTCTGAAGGATCATGTGACACTGAAGACTGGAGTATTGATGCTGAAACTTCAGCTTTGATCACAGGAAAAAAATACATTTTAAACTATATTACAATAGAAAACAGTTATTCAAAATTGTAGTATTATATCACAATAGTACTGTTTTTGACTGTATTTTTGTAATATATAAATGCAACCTTGGTGAGCATAAGACCATTCTTATAAAAACATAAAAAATGTTATTGACCCCAAACTTGGAGTATATACATCAGGATATAGTACAGTTAAACATGGATTATATAAAATTCACTGAGATAGACGATGTAACGTGAGATAAATCTGTGAGCATCATACCTGTCTGATATTGCAGCAAGTATCCCATGAGAAAGCCATTGGTTTCATGCGGAGGCGCCCACACCAGCGTGATGGAGTCTTTCTGAAAGTTTGTGGCTCTCAGGATGGGAGGTTGCTCAGGAACTGTGGGAAGATATCAAGCGCTACTGGTCAGTATGTACCTTAAATTAGAAAACTCAAAAACTGTTAGATGCTGTATTTCAGTGCAAAAAAACAAACAAACCAAAAAACAGCATATTTATTTGATAAACACCTACAAATTTAGTTCAACTGCTGAAATAGCATTGCATTTTATCTAATTTAAGTCAATGTAATTCTTACACACCTCCTTTCTATGTAAATTAGTCTTCTTATGTTCAGCAGTACATTTGGGTGAACAACAAAGTGTGTAAAATTCAACTGAATCTACACAAGAACTTAGCAGATGCTCAAACCACTGAATTTTAAAACGTGTCTACTGTCGAAGTGTTCTTGCCTCCCTGTGGAGTTGTGAAAGAGACGGGACTGCTGCTGGGCCCATTCCCTCTCCGGTTAAAGATGTTGACAGTCAGGCTATATTCAGAGAATGGCTTCAGTCCCGGCACCATGGTGTGACTCCTGTTTCCAGGGATGGTGAGAGACTGTCTCTCTGAGGGAATTCTCTTAGAGTTCAACAGACTTTGTGTTTGCCACCAGTGGACCTGGGAGCAAAAGATGGAAGAAAGAGAAAGAGAGTGTGTATGAGGATATATATATATATATATATATATATATATATTTATTTATTTTATTATTTTTTTTTTTTTCATGGAAAATAATCCAAGAGTGAAAATAAAGGCAAAGAGATCAAATAAAAGTAATAAGGAAACACACAGTGGAGTCTTTTAAAGGGGTCCTATTATGCTTTTTCACTTTTTCAACTTTAGTTAGTCTGTA